GGTTTCAGGGGTGATATTTGGAGGGTGTGTACATCCCTCATCCCTGAATAGCTCTAAGGCACAGGCAGGAAATGGAGTCTTGGCATTTTGTTTTGCTTCAGTGCTCCTCTTTATTAGAGAGGAACATAATCGGCATAGAATAATAATTGGAAAATTGTAAGCTTGCTTTCATTATAATTAGTGAGATCACAGGATGCAATAATCCAATTATATTACTTAAAAGCAAGTTTCCTCATCCCTCTGTAATGTGTCACAGGATGTGTAACCTCATCCCACATGGACTTGCCAGGGAAACGCCAAACTCTCTGTCTCCGTCTCTGTCTCTCCCCCTCTAACATGTAAACACCAGCGTGCCTGAGTGTGCTCAGACAGCTGAACATACACTAACATGTGAACACCACTTAGCGCCAGCAGACATGCACATAAGCACACATATGCACACACTGCAGCAACATACAAATAAGTGAATAAGATTTGCTGGCACATTAAGTTTAATGTGTTTGACATTCACCAGGAGGAAACAGTAGGCATGAAGTGGAGTAGCCACGCCGCATCTTGCTTCAATCAGGGCACCGCAGGACTTCATTTTACAACCTCAATGCAAACCTGGACCCGTCAAAGCTAATTAGCGCTGTTGCAAATGGACACTGGTCATGGCTCTCAGCAGATTGGTCCGCAGAGGGGTCACCAAAGGTCAAGCCTCCGGTATGGAATGATATAAACAATCATCTATGGACCACAATCCAATTAATCCCTTTTAACAGTATCCACTTCCTGGTTGGCTGCTGCCATAGGTCAGGGGTCAGTGTACAGAAAGACAACAGAGGTTTGGGTTTGGGAATGGAAAGCACATCTTACTGATTTTCATTTATGTTTTGGCAATTAATATACCTACAAAATATCAAAGACAAGATTCTTTAATATGATCTGTTAAGCATTTATTTATTCATTTATTAATTTGCTTTTTTTGTATTTTCATATTGCACAACAAAACGTCAGACCTTGGAAAGACAATTATATTTGCTGTTCATTTGTGAATATCAAATAACAATATATAAGATGAAAAACAAGTATAAACATTATCTTTATCCTGCTGTGCTTTCTGCACACTGAATAAAGCCACTTCAGAATCAACATGAAGTTCCGCAATTAGCTGAGCAGAGAAAGAAAGGACAAAAAGACTGAAAGAAAGAGGGAGAGGAAGGGGGAGAAAGATGGGAACCAATGCTTGAGGAATTAAATTACCGGAGCCTTTTCTCATTATCATTTAGCCGTCTTTTATGGCCCACCAGTAAGAGATGATGTTCCCATGACCCAACAATACACAGACATATTATTCAATCCTGCCATGATGAAATTCCTGCAAATAAAACCTTTGTGCTGGGCAACAGCTAATTATTTGACAGATTGGCCCCCTTCTGGCTCAGGTTACAGTGTAGAGTGGCCATGTTTTAGTCCCCACCCCCTACCACCAGCACTCTCCCACTCTCCGCCAGCTCCAGTGCAGAGAGGGGCCACTTTGAAAAAAAATCCCAGAGGGCTTCATTCTTTTCAGGAGATTATATATTTCAGCCCCCTCCTCCTCTTCCCAACCATCTATCCATCCAAAATCAGGGGAGCATGGTATGTGTGTAAATGTGTGTGTGTGTGTGTGTGCATGCGCATGCACATATATAATAGTTTAAAGGGTGCTCCCAAGCAGAAATATTTAATCTTCCCACACAAGCAAAGTTTGATGCTGGAGCAGTGAGACGAAGACAGAGAAGGAGAGAAAACAAAACATGTTCAATATGTCTTGTGTTACTTTGTATTTATACTACTTTGAAGAAGTACCACACTTATGCATCTAGTGCATTTTTTCATAACACCAAATTAGAGATTGGGGAACATTAATGGATTAAAGTTTTGGGTGGGCATTCGTTTGGCTTTGATTCAGTCCACTAATAACAAGAGTTTGTCATTAGTGTTCGGACATGGACCACCAAGATAAATGCCAGCATATGTTTAAATTATCTGGAGCGTAATGGCATTTTCC